CCTTTTAGCTAAGAAATTAACCTTCCGGCTCTTTTTATGCTCCAGTAAATTAGTGATAAAAACTGGGAACTGTCTCAAAGGATACTATTTTTAAATGACAAGACTTTTTGACATAACCTATGTAAGTATGTTACCATATCGTTCAGATTTAATTTCAATAATTCTAAAAAAATGCTTTTAAATTTCTGATATCAAAAATAGTTAAAACGATTTCAATCTAGTTTATAACATTTTGAGTCGAATCGAATTCTCGTTGCTAAATAAAATGCTCGTTGCTAAATATATTTCTTCGTATAAATATAAAGATATCTTTATAAAATCCGTGTGTTTCGTACTTTTATTTTATTTTTCTACGAGCATTTTATATGTGCACGTAACTAGAGGTGACTTAGTAATGAAATACAAAGTTCTTTGAAACTATTATTATGAGTCATAAACTGTTCAATTACATTTAAATAGTGTCTCGAACAATGTGTTTATTGTGAACAATCTCAAATTATCATATCTTGGGTTTTAACGATTTTAAAAATGGTATACAAAAAAAAAACTGGGGAAAACTAATTACGTACTTATTAAAATATATATAAACGGAATTTTACGTAACTTTTTAGTGACTACCAGTAAAATTCTACTATTTTTCTCCAGACCTGGCGTTAGGGTAGGGGGGGGGGGTAGACAAAAGGGGCGCCATAAAGCGCCTAGAACGCTTACCGCTAAAACCAGTACCAGTGGTAGAGCCCGCTTTAACATCTTCGCACGAATGGGTCGGCTTGCCCGGTGCAATACCACGACCACACAGAAGACAGGCGTAAAGTGGAAGCAATTCCGTCTGATGAGTGCGGTGCCGAAGCCCAACTTAAGTCCCTTTTCCTTCCTACCCTTTTTCTCACAAGAGTAGGATGGAAAGGGAACATAGATTTGACGGTGGAGGAGACGAATAGGGAGAGGAAATATCCTCTTTATGTGCGTCTCCTCCGCCGTCGATTATGTGTAGTATCATCCGCTATTGCGAATGTCTATGGCCAGCGGTCGCTTCGCCATTTTGGCGGATTCAGGTGGCCGCTAGCTCGTTTGCCACCTTATAATACCAGTACTTGATCCCTTCATCATGTCCCTTTTCCTACAAAGGTTCGAAGATTATAAACAAAATAATCAATATCTGATAAGTAAACAATTGTAAGGCACAAGTTTCATTGTAATAATACAAACGTACGTACCCGGAACATCGAATGTATATCATTAATCAACACACAACAAAACTTATTTGAATAAATGCTGGTCGCAAACGAACACAAGTAATAAATATCAACTTACATAATCTTAGAATCATAACAAATTGAAACTTAGCAGAATTATATTTAATCGTTTTGTTTTCAGTGTATTTTTAATTAAAAACAAAGGAATTTTAGAGAGAACTGGTTATTCGAGGATTTGTATCTATGTACTCGTATAAGGGATGTAAGTATGTTTGAAAGGGACCTCAAATTATTTTCTAAAATCATATTGGTTACGTTCAAGGCATCATTATAAAAAGTACTTTACTCTTTCTTCTACGATCCCATCATCATCATCAACACCCTTCACCTGCCCACTGCTGGACATAGGCCTTCCCCAATGCCTTCCACAGAATACAGTCCTCCGCCTTCCGATCTCATACAAATATTTCATTAAATAGTACATACGATGTTCTATATATAGACATCGTTATTGATTAATGTATCTCTACCTGCGTCCAATGAGTTGTCCGCAGATATTATGTAATACTAGCAGATGCCTGACTTCGTCCACGCAATATTAAGATTTAAAAAACAGGCCTATAATAATCCCGTCTATGTCGGCTACCCTTCAGTGAAACTCCGGTTGAAATAGGCCCAGCCGTTTTGGAGATTACCCGAAACAAACGGACAGACAAAAAAAAATTACACGCTTTTTTTGTTATCCGCAACGTAAATACATCATCTTCCCGAAATCTGGAATTTTTCGTTCGATGTAACAAACAGACACTCCATATTTTATTAGTATAGACGACGGAGCTTAAAAACTGCGCAGTTAACATTACGGTTACCTTCCCCTGAACTTTGAAGATCACGATTCATTTGTTTAAACTAAATCTTTATAACCTAAAAATAAATACGTTAATGTTTTTAAATTGACATCGTTAATGTTTTAAAACTATTGTAATATTTTTCTATTAAATTTAGTGCAAACTGTTTACCAAAACTGTAGTCAGAAAAGTTAGATCCTTGAAAATATAATGCATTAACACTTACATAATATTTGAACTACAACGCAAATACTCTTAAATGTGTGTAACCGAATACTTTACGAATTTCATTATTGATATATTTATCGAAAACTCTGACTAAAGTTAGATTTTTTCATAACCTGAATTAAATCAGCCCTAATTTTTATCTTAATAATATTACGAATGTTAGATGGCTGATTTTTTTTTTTATATCATAAGGTGACAAACGAGCAAGCGGCCACCTGAATCCGCCAGAATGGCGAAGCGACCGCTGCCCATAGACATCCGCAATTGCAGATGCGTTGCCTACCCTTTATCCGACGGAGGAGGAGACGCACATAAAGTGGATATTTCCCCTTCCTATGCGTCTCCTCCACCGTCAAATCCACTTCCCCTTCCCATCCTCTCCTTCTAAGAAAAGGGTGGTAAAGAGAAAGGGATTCAAATTAGGCCTCCGGCACCACACTTATCAGACGTAACACGGAATTGCTTCCACTTCACGCCTGTCTTCTGTGTGGTCGTGGTATTACACCGGGCATGCCGGCCCATTCGTGCTAAGATGTTAAAGCGGGCACTGCCACTGTTATCTGTGTGTGTGAATAGATGCAGGTAACTACAAACCCTTTTATAGGATAAAGATTTAGTTACGGCATAGATTGTCTAGACTAACGAATAGACTACTTTTTTTAATTCCGTGCGGACGAATTCGTGGACACAAACTAGTAAGCTATCAGTGATAAGAATATCACATCTTTGCATTGTCAAATCCTCTAATTTTTAATGTACTTGAGCAAGTGAGTGCAACTATTCAATTAACGTGAAGCCGCGAAACGTTCGTGGAATGGCCGAACAAGACTACAATAGCCGCATCGATTCCTAGAAATAAATAATCATTATATGATATCTTTCCTCATCTAACCAGTTATTTATTTAAAAAAAAAGTATACACAATGACGTAACGCCAGCCAGCAATACTTTGTATTACATTTTGTATATAGATAAATCGATTTATTTAATATTTTAACTTAAAAATAAGATAAGAAATCTAGTAATTAGATCTATACCTAGTTAATCTAGTTTACATTAAGTAATTTTTCAAGGCAATTTTTTTTCTTCTAGTGACAAAGGAAATAAAGAATTTGATTACAATCATAAAATAATATCAGTTGTGGAGCCAATGCAAAACATTTTTAGACTTAAACTTGAAAAAATATCAAATAAATACCTATTTCAAAGTATGATTTCTCGGTAATATTACATCTAAATTAAAGAATTAAAGTTAGCTGTGGATTGGAACATTTGTTTAGTTCAAGTACTTTACTAAAAGATGTTAATCGTATTTAATCAGAACTCGATGTACGCCTTAAAAACTGACGTAAAAACAACGAGCAAAAAGTATTAACTTGCTTCTTCACTCGCCAAGGATATCCCCGAGCCCCAGCACCTCACACCTGTTGTATACGAGTACATAGAATAATATAAAAAGCTCTTCAATTAAAAGGAAAAAAGTTCTCCAATATAAATAGACAATAAAAACTGCCGGATATTTACTTATAATGTGTGAATATTTATAACATGTACAGCCTAAAGAATACAAAAAATCCAGCTTAAACAGGCTTTCATTAACATATTACATTACTTTCTAAAGTGCTCCATAGTTAAATATTTTTCCACAATACGGCAAAGGTTTTTACATTTCGGGCAGGTTATATTATTATCATTTAAATTCCTTAGACCCTTTCTTTGTGCATTTTAGCATCAGCGATTCTCTATGGAAATCATAGTAATACATATCTTTGATCATATACGTTATGTATGTTATAAGAATATTATGAATGTTTTGAGACAGAATGTCCATATATTATTATTAATATTGATTAATAGCTGTCAAGTTGTAACAACCTCCAAGTGATTCTGCGAATTGTTTTTTTAATTCAAACATCAAGATAAGGAAAAATGTATGTCTTATATTGTTTAAGAAATTATACTGGATACGCAAAAGTATTGTTCGGGTAATGATATATTCTTTAACGTACTACTAGGTTACGCTCGCGGCTGCGACTCCGTTCGCTTCGAATTAAAAAACAAAAGGTATACGTGGTGCACTAAGCATAGTGGTTATAGGGCACTATATCTATGCTAAATGTTATTCAGATCCTGATAGCCGTTAAATCTGTAAACTCTTACAAACATCCATCTAAACATTCGCATTTAGTAAGATTGATATACCGCGAAAGCTACTAAAGGGATACTTTATTTTTTTTTTAGTTACATGTCAAGTAAAATAGATAAATAATTTATATGTATAAAATAATGATGCAAATTATCAATGGCTATATAATAATTATCCTAAATTCCTTTCCATAGAAGCAAAATACTCAACTACAAAACATCCGCCCAGGACTATCATCTCATCGGCCATCTTTATAATTTATCAACTACTTACGTAAGCATATATAGTCAAATTATTTCGTTAATTTTATTATTTAATAGCATATAAGCGTTTTGATTGCCTCTTTTTTCTTTAACAACGTATTAGAAAAAATAATAGAGTCTGATTTATCTCCCAAAATAATAGGTCTTCCAGACGTTCCTATGCCGACAATCTTGAGAAGTCATCGTCCATCCACCTCTGTTCATTATACGTCGGCCGCGATACCTTTGTTGTACCGGTCGCTGCAAAAAACGAAGTGCAAAAAGCTAGGATCATTGTAAACACTTGGCCGATCGTGACTCGAAGTAATACGTATATAAAGTCGGTCCTGAAGCGAGAATATCACAGTGAAGCAAGATGGCGCGTCTTGCAGTAGTCGCTTTGGCTTTCGGCCTGTTTGTTTGCATCCACGCGGCCCCAGGTAAACACAAGTCGAAACATGCAAAAAACATTACTTAGACATTCAAAAGCTATTTTTTTTATTATTTAATTTTAAATAAAAAACTTAACTTTATTTAAAACCAAAGATTAAATTTAAAACAGCATATGATATTTTAACAGGCGACATATGTATTTAAATACAATATGTGCAGTAATGTGTAATCTACAACTATAATTTTTGTTAATTTGTAGGATATGGTGGCGGCAGTACCGGGGGCGGAGGTTTCGGCGGCGGCGGCGGTGGCGGAGGTGGATTCGGAGGCGGCGGCGGCTTCGGAGGTGGCGGCGGCGGCGGACACGGAGGCGGCGGTGGCGGTGGATTTGGCGGTGGCGTGGGAGGCGGCAAAGGCGGTGGAGGCGGTCTAGGAGGTGGACTTGGTGGAGGCAACGGCGGTGGCCACGGAGGTGGACTCGGCGGAGGCAACGGCGGTGGTCTAGGCGGCGGCCACGGAGGCGGTCTAGGCGGTGGCAACGGCGGCGGTAATGGCGGCGGCCACGGAGGCGGTCTGGGCGGCGGCAATGGCGGTGGTCTGGGAGGTGGCCATGGAGGTGGGCTAGGCGGAGGCAATGGTGGTGGCCTGGGCGGCGGTCACGGCGGTGGTAACGGCGGAGGTTTGGGCGGAGGCAACGGCGGCGGTCTCGGTGGCGGTCACGGCGGCTCTGGCGGTGGTGGTCATGGCGGTCACGGCGGTCACGGCGGCCATGGTGGCGGCTACGGCGGCTCCAGCGCCAGCGCCAGTGCCAGCGCAAACGCCGCGGCCGGAGGGTACGGCGGTCACAAGGCCGGTTATGGGTAAGCAATTAAGCTTATTTTTTAATTGTTTGTACCAAGTATGTATATCAAGAGTAAATTTTGAAGATATAATAACCGTATTTTACCATTAGCCATATATTTAAAACTTGTGTTTCTATTTGTTACAGACGTTAAACTGAAGTTACTAAAATCCAGCGCTTGTGACTCCATCTGCAGCGTGGTTCGACAACTCTGAATGTGATAATAGCTAGTTTATTTGTTAAACATAATAAATTTATGTAAAAAGTACCATATTAAAATAGTTGAAAACATTTATTCGTTTTACTACATTATTAAGTTATTTTCATCACTATGTATTAAGTTACAATGAAGCGATAATTTAAAAGCTCTTGTAATTTTTAGATTTGAGCCTAAAAAAGTAAAAACATGAATACTTTTTTTTTATTTTACTTTGTATACGAAGGGTAATTGACAAGACAAATACACTATCATACATCGATTACACAAACACAAATAAAGAAATCAAATAATATGAAACTAGTCTGGGCTCTATAATTACAGCATAATAAAAATAATAAACAGACTTAAACAAGAGAACCCATACACGTGATTTTTATTTTTAAACGTGATCAATAAAGGCAGGTCTTCCCCGCTAATATTAATTAACTATAATTATCCACACTCGGTTGGTAGCCGTGTGCGAACGTAGCACCTTATTTCTTGCTTTATTTTTTGCACATTACTGTAACATATTTAAACTAACTTAGACATTTGCATATAACCTAACATGGAGTTAACGACTTGGTAAATTATAAAAAATACTAGTTAATAATTAATTACCATGCGATGATGACCTTAGCAAGGTCCTTTTTATCATCGGACGTCTAGACGTATGGCTAGTCTCCATTCTTTCATAGTTGGAGTGCCGCGGGTACGAACGAAGCGGTTTGAGGCATCGTTTTGCGTGCGCACGCCAAAGGAATCGGATAAGTTGCCGGCGTCAGTGTTCCCGTCCATTTATAACGTAGGTGCTTCCAAGAGCAGTGTGAATCGGTACTTACTGAACTAGCGCGTACTATCTTCATTCTAATTTGGGTGTGATCGTGGTCAAGCGCTGGTTTAAACGTGTTAAAAAAAGAAGCTTGCATGAATGTACTGGACACGGGTGGCACAGGATATTGAGACAATCGATGGGGAGGCAGTGGACGCCTTTAGTTTAAAAATGATGATTAAATGATTGTTACTGTGTATGCGTTTATAACTTCTCATTGTACGTTAAAAAATTCATAAACGTAAATTTATAACTGAAAACTTCACTGTAGTGAATAGAACAAAATCAGTTGTGTATTTATCAATCTAATTTACTAACTCTGACAGCGGAGGTTAGACTATGGGGGACTTGTGTGAGATATACAAAATAATGAAAACAATTCAAATCAGATCTAATAAGAGTCTAAAGCGCGCGTAAACCTGAAACTAAACACTAAACAGTTGAATTGGCTATGAAACAATCGACAATCGCACGACAGTACGATAGTTTATTCGAAGGTGTCCCTCTCTTATAATCAGTTTACTCTGTAGGCTATATTTCTTCCTAGAACGTAAATAATGCTGGCATAAAGTCGTTACTAAGTCAAAATACACATGCAATCTTGCTATGTGTACAAATAGAGTTATCATATAGTATTAAACATATTGTTACTGATCTCTCTGTATCTTTTAGAATACCAACTCGAGATTTTTTTTTATTTATTGCTGTAACAATTAGCCTGATGACCTTGTCGGTGACAATACAACGAAAATGCGACACTAACAGGTGACCGCGACATGTCCGAATTGATTTGATGTGACGGGTCCATCCTGCCATGTATTCTATAAAAGAATCGACCGAAATCATCAGAACATTAGTGTACCAAAATGACGAAAATCATCAAATTTGCTCTAGCCGCAATGTTGGCAGCCTACGTCGTAGCAAATCAGGGTAAGTTTCGAAATTATTTTTATGTTTTTTTTATGATCTAAAAATGTGTAAAATCGTATAAAAACACTCGAAAATATATGGCATCTAAACAAATACCATATTTCAAAACTTAAATATAACCTCTGTAATATAAAATTATTTTCACGGTCAATGTAAATAACTGCTTAAGTAAGATTAAATCTGAAAGTCCTAGGAAATGCAAAGTTCTATGTTATTCAGAAAAGACAGGGGGCTACGAAAAAAGCGGTTATGAAATAGAAGACGGAGATTATGTAGACAAAAGTAACGAGAAAGATGCCATTCTCAGTGGAGAAACGCGAAGCTGCGATGAAAGCATAAATATAAGGTTCGTAAATAATTTTCAATTTACCTACAATTAAATTTCATCGAAACACTTAAATTTGAACGCTCGTAAATTTCAAATTCTCTGTATTTTTCCTTGTCCTGTAAAAATACTCGATAATTTGCATTTAATGAAGTCATTAATACAATTTAGCTCAAAGAAACATAGTTATAATTAATTTTTTCGGGAAAGAAATAGGAAAATTTATTGAAGTAAATAACTAGATTACACTTTACAGAAAAAATCCTCAAAGTTACGAACACGAGAACAATTATAAAACCAGAAATCATAAATTTGGATATTCAGCTAGCTCGTCCGCAGCCGCGTCCGCTGACGCATCCGCTAAAGCTTATGAACATGGCCACAAGGACACCGCTTACATATAATGCGTTATTTTATCGATATTGTCTCTTGCAACGGTTCAAAGATTTACTGATACTCCTGAATACACATTGAATAAATATTGTGTATTATTTACCGCTTCCTATATGTTAATAAACAATACAGGGACGCTATACACTATTGTTCTATATACTGTTATATAGAGTTTATTATAAAACTAGCTTTTGCCAGCGACTCCGTCCGCGTGGAACTAAGTAAAACAAAGGTAACTATGTGTTCTTCCAGACTAAGCTCTACATTACAAAGTCTATTAGACGGCAAGCTATCCATCCAGCAATCTAAACTTTAGTATTCCTGATATTAGTAAAATAATCTTTATGCGTGGATTTATTTATGAAACACGTTGATATCCCTTTGTTTGTTGCTACGTACGTCTCCGTAGTTGTTTAACAGTGGTAGTGCCCGCTTTAACATCTTAGCAAGAATGGGCCGGCACGCCCGGTTTAATACCACGACCACACAGAAGACAGGCGTGAAATGGAAGCAATTCCGTGTTTCGTCTGATGAATGTGGTGCCGGAGGCCTAATTTTAGTCCCTTTCTCTTTACCACCCATTTCTTATAAGACGAGGATGGAAAGAGAAAGTGGATTTGACGGTGGAGGAAATGTATAGGAAGGGGAAATATCCTCTTCATGTGCGTCTCCTCCTCCGTCGGATAAGGGTAGGCAACGCATCTGCAATTGCGGATGTCTATGGGCAGCGGTCGCTTCTCCATTATGGTGGATTCAGGTGGCCGCGTGCTCGTTTGCCACTTTATGTTATAAAAAAATACGGTGAATTTGGCAAAGCTGTACCATACTCAAAAGAACACATAGGGCACTTAGATCTTATCTACCTTATCCAAGTCACGTAGGGTCGGCGCATCGCGTTGTCATCTTTCAAATAACGGACGAAGATATGGGCAAAAGTTAGTATGATAAACAAATGACAGGTGTAGACTTCATTTGTTTTCAATAACAAGGTCAATGCTTCGATAGTCATATTAACTGCCAGTCACAACTTCGTAGAACAATTACGTCATCATCTCAACTAAGTACAATCTTCCAGTACTATTTATTTCCTTGTATTAACTTTGTATAGATTTTCTGTTTAGGTAACGCCGAGGTGAATGTACAGAGATTAACTTCAAAGGTCTCAAGAAAATGTGCGTTTGTTAGAATTGTAGGGAAAAAATGCCCTTCGTTATAACTGGAATGTTTTGTATCGAATTGTTTATTTACAAGTACACTATGCTTTGTATTGAAAAAAATTTAACTGTGTATCATAGGGGTTTCAAAATAATTTTCCAATCTATTGTCTTCTATCAGATGCCCGTTAAAAATCTCAAGCCCTATGGAAAACATTGATGCAAGATATTTAATGATTTTGTATATAGTGCCGAGTAAAAATATTTTACTTCATCGAGTAAGGTGATAATCGTTTTTTTTATACCAACAACCTGTTAAATTTATTTATGAAAGACTAGCTGTTGCCCGCGACTTCGTCCGCGTGGTATTAGAAAACATACGAACTAAATAAATAACAAAAAGCTACGCATCCCTAGGGAACCGGACAATTCTCGGGGATGAACCTTATCCCATGTGTCCTCCACATTTTATTTTATATCTGCGTCAAATTTCAATAAGATATGTTGAACCGTTGCAGAATGATCGAGTAAACATTAAAAAACTAAATTATGCCTGTGTTCTTCCATACTATGCTCTAAACCTATGCCAAATTTCATGGAGAACCGTTCAGCCGTTTAGGCTACAAACGCTAACAAACATCCATCCATCCATCGTAACTTTCGTATTTATAATAATTATTATATATTGTATTATATGATTAAATAAAAGAACAATTCTCTCAATAAAGTTTTTATTTACAAATAATTAAAAAAAATGCGACCAATGTCACAGTAACAAATCTACAGAGAACCTTAAATTGACAAATGTACAAAAGCTGTACCTGAAATAGAAACCAGGTCGAACATCCTGCTTTATTATTATTACAAATTAAATTAATTAACATAACTATTTGATTCATAATAAACGACAATAATGAATACATGCACGTATTTTTGGTAAAATATACAATAATTATAATTACCTAAAAAAACTGGCTTTAGAAAATTAGTAGAACTTGCCTTGAAGTAACTAATTTTATTTAACTTTCTCGAAATATCGTAATTTCTCAAGGAGCGAGCGAGATGATACACTAATCATAGATAAGACAAGGACAAAAGACGTCTTACTTCAATTTTGTATAAAAGATATATTTATTTAAAAATTTGGATAATTCAATATGGGAACATTACTTTATATCCAATTGGCCAATTATTTAAATAGATATATTTCAAAAACTGCAATTCCAATTCAACTGACGATTCAAGAATCTTTTATCTCTTTCATTCTCTTCAAGAAAACAGAAATAGCATGTTCTAATTGTTATTACAGTGACAGATACTTCCATATATCTAACATCCAGAGGTATTAATTATTACAACTAAGTCTAGACTAGTAAAATTGTGTTCTCTAGAAAGTCATTTTTCAATACAATAAAAAACATACATTTTTTCCTAAACAGAAGAACAAATATAGATTAAAAATTCCCTAAAGCTAATATAATAGCGACAAATTGTGATTTTTATAAATATGTAAATATTAAAAATATATATTTAAATACGCATAAAATTCAATTTAAATTTAATTAAAAATCATGGCCATTACTAATAAAAAAATATAAAAACAATTCATCATATAAATATATATTTTGTCTAAAATTGCACAAAATTTGCACCACAGCGAATAAAACGAAAAAAATGTAGAACACTTCAGTAAAATTGGTTCGTTGGCAGTTTATTATTTCATGTACTCAGTCTGTTGTCAAAATATTCTATTTCTCGAAGTCATTAAACATTTTCATACAAAAAACATGCTTAAAACATGCCACATGTTGCAAAACTGAATAAGCTTATTTCTATATAGTGATACAAGAATATCTGACCCGGTGTATATTAAACATTTGTACAGTCGGGGAAAATAATCATTTGAAGATTTTGTAACGAGACGCGGTACCACCAATATAACGCATCTTATAAATGTCTCTACGAAACTCGACTAATGATACACGGCTAGTCTTTATATTACTATTCCTTCGTTTGCACCACTCTCTTCTATATAATTTTTAATTTCTAGAAAGAAGCGGAATTTGTCTCGTTGCAATAAACAAGGCTAAAGTGTATTTCCACGACTGTACAAAGCATAATAAATAAAAAAATATCAAGACAGCCAGAATGGTAGTGTGCTGTCATATTTTAGTTCGACTCACCGGGTCAAATAACTCGTCGGACTATAACAGTATATTGTATAGTAAATTGACTTTAGATTCTATAACAATATTGCCGTCTCTTACATGCTGATAGAAATAGAGACAACACGTGCAATGTTAACCCACGATGAGAACACCACAGATTATAAATATGCGATCCCGGTTTAAACTTAAACTATCGTTAAACCACGTAAATACTAAATTTCTTTTACACACGACCCAGCCTTTGATATAAAAATAATAAATTACACAAGAGCCATAAAGCCATTTTAAAAAAAAAAAACTTCAGCTACATTAAATTGCATAAAATTAACCACCTGGAGTATAAAAAACCGCGCCATATTGCGAAAAAAAAATTCAAAATTGTCAAAATTATTTTATGATTCGAAAATGACCATAAACTGAATAGTAAAATATTGCTATTACAAAAAAATATTTATTTATATTTCAATATGATTTCACTAATTTTTAAGATGCAATAAAAATGACAAGTACAGCTCGAGTGTAATTAAAAAGAAATTGTATATTAAATATAAAATACAACAGATTAAAAATTACCTAAAAAATGCCTATATAATGTGATTATTTGTTTTATTACCTTAATATGTACAATTGTATTTTAAATGTTATAAAAAAAAGTTGTACTAAGCTAATATAAAGATCTAATCACTAGCCATATAATTCGCAATAACCGAAACTAACTGAGCTGGCAATATATTGTATAGCTTTGGTGTTATTGCATACTGTTATACTTATGTCACCGAACAATTACGAACTTCGGCAATTCTAAATCATACTAAATTAATAAACTGTTAATTGACAATTTTTTACAAAAACGTGTTTTGTCAACAATCTAAGTTTTGATATTATTTTATATGAAACCTAAATTCGCCAAAATAGCGAAGCCACCGCCCATAGAAAAAGAGGATATTTCATTTATTACAGGCTTTGTTTTCTTAAACGAAAAAGTGACTCGATAAGTTTAGTAAGTTTTAACACTTCGATTATAAACTGACTGAATTCAAAATTTATCGGTGACATAAAACTATCGGTTTATTTTAATATAAAAACATGATTTATACTTAAATGCAAAAAGATCTGAACACATCCAATGAACGAAAGAAAAATTAAAACAATATATTGCTTGCCCAGCCTTATAATAAACTCAGTCCTGGGATAAAGTGATATAACATTTAGGGCCTGTCCCACCACTCGCTGATAGAGGCTCAGATAGCTTAAAACGTCACTGTCAGATAAGGGAAAAAAATCCGATTTCCATCACATATTTTACACATTGGATTGTTATTACACAATTTAAAATTTGGTGGGACAGGCCCTTAGACACATATCTTACGTTTACCTATTATGTTTTATACGTTAAAACAAATTAAAACATATCTTGTGATTCAGAAAATTGTTATTTTAATATTATTCTAACATCCCTTATATCTATTGTGATGCAAACATTTTTTCGTAAGCGACTTGTAAAGAAAGCCGAAGTTAAAAATGCATTATAAAACCTGTTTATTATGACTTTAATTTTATATCTGGTTTACATTGTACCAGTCCAGCGATCAAGATCATCGCTGGATTATAACTGGAATGTCACTTTAAGTTATAATCTAGCGCAGTGGTCGATCACTGGACTGGAATAATGTAAAGCATTAGAATAAAACGCACTAACGTGCAATAGATTTCATAAACATAGTTTTTAAAAAAAAAATATAAAAAAATCGACTAAAGTATTATGCATTAATATGTGATGACAGTTGTGATGAATAACTACTTTGGCATAAGTGGTATTAAAAAACCACTGAATATTTACATGCAAAAAATGCTACTTGAAAAAAAAATGTAAAAAAAAAATTTCGATCTCATTTCTTGTCTATTCAAATAAAGGTCTTCAAAACTGGCCATTACATTTGTGTTACTTTTTATTACAGGAAAATATTTAAATTTCATATGCATTTCAACCCTACAACTCAATAGGGGTGAAATTAAATTGTGTATAAAATTATACGCATCGGGTATTTAATAACGAATATATTGCAGATTGCAATCTATGTATCTTCATACATAATTGGTGTAGACACACAACAAATACTAAAATCCTAGTAACGTTAATAAAATTTAGCTAAAACGATCAGCATTAAATATCTCCGTGCAAACAACCCATTAAAGGCATAGTATGGCCAGATTTAGTAACAAACTATAATGGACCTTATCGCCTTTAGTATAAAGATTATATTCATAAATGTGACTCGTATTATGGCCAGAATTAAAAAGTACTGCAATTTTAATTGCATTTAGTAGCAAGGTATAATGGACCTTATTCCCTTTAGTGTAAGGGTTATATTAGTTCAGAAGTGTGACTCGTAGTGCGTGCGTCAGAGCTGCGTGTCGGGTGCGTGGGGCGCGTGCAGTGCGTGGGGCGCGTGGGGTGCGAGGGGCTCGTGCGCGTGGGGCTCGTGGGGCTCGTGGGGCGCGTGGGGCCTGGCGAGGGGCGCGGCGTCGTTCTCCGCGGGATTCATGTCGATGCGGCCCGCCTTGCTCCACACCAGCATGTCCATTATGAATGCGAGGAACATCAAACCAGCTGCGAGACCTGGAAGCATTGAATACACATTTTATATTACTAACATTATAAATGAGTAATTTTAGATAGATGGATGTTTGTTAGTTTGCCTGAACGGCTGATGGGATCTAGATAAAATTTAGCATAGATGTCAAACACAGTTTGAAAACACATTGGGTACTATTTTTTTTTAAATCCGTGCGTTACATAGCTATCTACGACGTATAGTCAGTTTCATTGTAAAGTTGTGTAAATTTTTTGTTACACCAAAGCATTAGTATTGTTTCTTATTTGACATAGTAGTGACTTTAAAAACATAAATCTTCTTCGGTATACCATCACCATATGTACTACTCTGTACCGTGGCGGAACATCGGCGCAACACTAGATCAATGACACGTGCTGTCACTATGACACCTGTCAATGTCATTCAAGTATGAAGGAAGTGGGCAGTATCGCAGTATCGCAGTAGATGACCGCTGTAACGATAATATCGTGCGTACCTAGATAGAGGTGTCGCAGGCTGTCGTTGTCGTAGGAGGCGCAGGCGCCGAGCAGGCCGCAGGCGGCGTCGCGCAGGCGGCAGGCCGCGTCCACCGCCGCGCCGAACAGGATGGGGCACGGCACGTTGCCGAACACGCCGATGGCGAACTGGATCACGCCCATCGCCATCGCCTTGTCTGCACGCAAATGTTCATATTTATTTACATAAAACGTAAACACACACTTCTTTGTTGCTTAAGATGTCAGCAATTACACCATATTTTTTAATAATTCTATTTTAATAAAAGCCACGCGTCATTTACATTTACGTCATGCTTTAGGCTATATTTTTCACGCCATTAAACTTAGGGGGTAAATATTTTGGATAAAAACCCTAATGTGGGAAAGAGACCATAAGTTGCTGCCAACATCAAGGAAGTAAGATTGCTAAGACTTGTCATGTCATGTCATTTTGACATTTGCTATTGATAATTTGACAAATATAAACAACAAAATAAAATTTTCATAATTTCATGCGGATGAAGCCGCACGGAAAAGGCAATATGTAATAATACGAAATAGTTCTGATGGACGTTTCTAAGAGTTTTTAGCCTAAACTACTGAACGGAATTCGATGAAATTTGGCATAGAGGAGGATCTGGAAGAACATCTAAGCTACTTTTGTTTTTTTTTTTAAACTCCACGTGGGTAAAAGCTAGTAAGCCACAAAAACCGACATAATCCGACTAAAAGAAGCAGATGTTTGTTGTGATTTTCTTTCTTTCATCATCTGATACCCCTTTTAGAAAGACGCCTTATTTCTTGTTTGTTTTCTTAATTTCAATTAACTAATTGATCTTCATGTAACTACAAGTGTAGTAGAATTTTTATGACCAACATTTTTTTAATTGTCAATACTTTTTGTTCAAAACACACTTTTTACTATTGTTAGGCAATTATTTAAAACTTTATACATACCATGTTTATCCGTGCATCGTATAATAAGAAGCACGGCGCCGACCTCCCCCGTCGCGTGTATAAACATGGCGGCGGCGAATATCGCCACGAACACGTACAGCTGCGCGCACGGCCCGCCGCACTCCCCGCTCACCGCCAGCCCGCCTCCGCCTCCGCCTCCGCCTCCCACCACACCGCCTCCGCCTCCGCCTCCACCTCCACCCAGCACCTCCGACGAGTTCAACATCGCGTAGCGCTCGATGCTATACAATATATTATATTCAATATGCGAACTCCTATACAACTATCCAATTAATACTTAAAAAAATTCAATACGCGAACACCTGTACTTCTCTTATATCTCTATCTTACTAATCTTACTAATATCATAAATGCGAAAGGATGGATGGATGTTTAGAGTTTGTAGTCTAAACTGCTGAACGGATCTCGATAAAATTTGGCATGGATGTAGAAAATAATCTGGAAGAACATATAGGCTACTTTTTTTTGTTCTTTTGCATTCCACGCGGACGAAGTTGCGGGCGAAAGCTAGTAGAGTTATAAAGAAGTTCGCATATTGGAGCATAATTTCTACTAGTTTACATATCAATATTAATTGACAGCGATAAGACTGTAAACGATGAAAATTTTCTGTCTATAAACATAATTTAATACTTTTAACAATATATCATTTTATGTTACAACAGTGCGCATATAACAGATTTAGTGCTTAAACAAGATTGAAAGTAATTGTAAAGTACACTTTACTGACGGGACGCTCGGATACGAGTTGACGGCACCTCGGGTACAGCCACGCACGGATCCGAGTTATAAGCGCTTAATGTTGATACGGTTGACGGATAAAAGATGGACTTTAGAAGCTACAAGATGGAAAGGGCCAGCGGGAAAAAAGAAAGTCGGTAGACAAAACGGTGGTCTAATGGAAGTGACAAGGAAAGACTGGCTCCAAGCAAAAACAGGGAAGGCTGGAAGGAGATGGAGGAGGCCTTTAACCAAGGAGGAATCCATATTTAAAATAAATAAATAGATAAATAAATAAATAAATTATATAGTAGACCAACAATACTGATAACTATAATGTCTGAAACTAACAATACTAACAAAATTAAATTTTTGAAACGCTATGTAAATATGAAAATAAAGAGGCTTGTTATTATTATTATAACCTCATATCTTTATTTTCTTATTTTTATATATAATGTATTTTACATGATTTTTTATTAAAAAAAAAAAAAACATATTGTATAAAAAATAGAAGTCCACCGGCTGCGGAATCCGATGACTCAAGCAACCAGTGGTCAGGGCAGACAGGAACCTCCTCACTATTCGTGCGGTTTCTAAAATAACCGCCTTTTGAATCGGGCCCTTATTATTATTATAATGTTAACATAAATCGTTTCAGAGGCCATAAGGTGGAGGGTACTCACACGGCCATCGCCTTCTCCCCTCGCTCGTGGTCCTCGATGCAGGAGCAGTTGTAGTAGAGCCAGGTGGAGTTGTCGAGCTGGCGCGCGGCCGCGCAGCCCGCCTGGCACGCCGACACGTACGTGAACGAGTCCTACACAAAAAAAAAACAAATATACATTATTGTATTAAGTTCGAAATTATACACAATCTAATATTATAAATGCGAAAGTTTAGATGGATGGATGTTAGAGTTTGTAGCCTAAACGGTTGAACGGATCTTAAAAAAAATTTGGCATAGATGTAGAGGATGGTCTGGAAGAACACATAAGCTCACTTTTGTTTTTTTAATTACACGCGGATGGAGTCGCGTTCGACAGCTAGTATAACATATAAAGACAAATCCAAAGAAAAAGATAAATGAAATGTATATATAATACATTTGTCTATAATCTATTTAAAATTTTATATGTAAATATATCTAAAACGAATGAGGCAATTTCATAAATCGTTTCACCATTAAAAAACTACATTATCATTATGTTACAGACCGTTCTTTACTATTTTGAACTATAAAATGATATAATATTGTATGTTAGTTAACTGCAAAAGGCTGTCTTCATTCACAGTAGACTTAAAAGTGGTAAATGACACCGCGAATTTTATATAACACTTTGTTTACTGTATTTGACCGTAACTAAAAAACATGTATGTAATATATCTTGTACTAGCTGTTCTCGTGCGGCTTCATCCGCATGTAATTATAAAAACGTTATTTTACTGTTCACATTTGTCTAAATATCAGTAGCAAATGTCAAAATGACATGACATGACAAACGTTAGCAATCTTGCTTCCTTGATGTTGGCAGCATACTTATGGTCTCTTTCCCACATTAGGGTTTTTATCCAAAATATTTACCCCTAAGTTTAATGTCGTGAATATATATAGCCTAAAGCGTGACGTAAGTTTAGGGCTTTTTATTAAAAAAATAATTGTTGATAAATATGCTATAATTGCTGACATCTTAGGCAACAAAGAAGTGTGTGTTTACGCTTTATTATAATAGTATAGATGTATATATGTGCAACCTGTCCGCAGACGGGGCTGTAGGGCGCGCCGTCGCAGTTGCAGGCGGCGCTGCACGACAGGTTGCTGGTGACGCCGCTCTCGCTCAGCATGCGGAAACTCTCCTCGGGGCAGCTCACGAACATCAGCACCACCATACCTGTACACCAATCAATCAGAATATCTGACTTTTATGTCATAAGGTAACACACGAGCAAGCACCTAAATCCGACAAAATAACGAAGCTTCCGCCTATAGACAACCGAAATTGCCTACCAACCCTTATTCGACGGAGGAGACGCACAAAAAGAGAATATTTCCCCTAATAAGTCTCCACCGTCAAATCCATTTCCTTGCCATCCTTCTCTTACAAGGAAAGAAAAATGAACTAAAACCAGGCAGTACCCGAGGTCAGACTATAAGGAACTGCTCCCATTTCACGCTTGTCTTCTGTGTGGACCATTCGTACAAGATGTCAAAGCCAGCTCTACCAATATTACCTGCAATGCGACTCTAAGTGGCACTCACCAGCACTGTACATTGCGGCGGAGGCAGCAGTCCAGGCGGCGACCTGGCGCGCCGTCGGCACCAGCTTCAGGATCACCACACCCGATGTTATGATGCCCAGACCCATGATCAGGATACCACCCAAACCTGCAAGTATACACGGTAAGACACTTATATAACACTAGCTGTTGCTCGCGACTTCACTCGCGTCAAATTATATTATTTTAAAAAATATAGTCCATGTTACTCACAGATAAATTACCTAACGTTGTAAGGATGTTTGAAATCGCCCCAGTAGTTATAACGTGAACGAATACATACAAAAATACAAATCTTTCCACTTTACAATATTAGTATAGATTATAGAATACATCTACAACTTGCCCGTGCGCTTAGGGAAGGTCGGCAGATGTGATGCTTTTCCATACATCTCTGTCAGCCGTCAAATATGAACCCATTCTCTTCTTAAGCATATCCACTTTCACACAATCCATTCATACTTTCTACTTTATAGAAAACATCATATAAAATAGAATATTAAAAGGTAGATTGTTTCAATCTTTTTGTCACATCAAGGTCATCTGCGAGTGCTCATAGCCTTCCTTGCGTATCCCTATACACCCTGCTACATCGAACTTTTTTTTTCGAAATATGTCATTTCCATAGCGTTTCTCTCTGGGACACCTTTATTACTAATTTGTCCTTATCTTAAACAACGCGGGATCGAGTCATTAACGATAATTCTGAATTTCTTCATACGTTTTTAACGCAGTCTATCCTCAATAAATTTAACCGCCATCTAACAAGCTATAAAGTTAACGTGTATATCAAGATGCAGTGTTCATCGTAGTACCTCACCCGAGACAAGGTTGGCGTCGTGCGTCGGCAGCCGGAACTGCTTCTCCAGGTACTTGGGCAGGAAGCTGACCAGCCCGCTGATCGGCATCAGATGCAGCACCGAGCTCGCCGTACGCCACATTAGGATGTCGTTAGTCAACTGACGCTTTATTGTCGCGAAGAAATCTGTAACGAAATTAATATTAAGAATTAAAAAATTATACAAACTAGCAGCCTCATTAGTACTAATATTTGCTTATACTCAGTTTATCCCTAAGTTTAACTTGATACTGCGTTTCTTTGTAAGGCTGATAGTTTTTTGTTATAGAGCACAGTTTTCTTGGGGCATGGTTCTGACTTTTATTGAGTTTACCATAGTTACCTTTAAAGAATGGCTCGCTCTTCTCTTTGCTCTTCTTCCTGGGCAACGGCTGCGGGCTCTGCTTGATCTGTCGCGGGAAGAAGAACATCAGGATCGACAGGATCACCACGAAGCCAGCTATCACCACCATCCCTGGAAACATGCATAGAATTAAGCTTAAATCTTCATAACAATACAATTTTTGGATACACATTCTTCATTCATTATAGATTTTTGTTCATGTATTGTTTTGTAGAAGAAACATCCGAATGATAATTTATTTCCATTTTAAGAATCCGGAACGAAGATGAATTCAATCAAAGCTATAACTATGAAGTCGAAAGAAATGTTTATTGAAAATTCTCACGCGAATCTCGTAAGCGTCTACAGTCAATAGACATATGTGTGACGTAATAATTGAAGATTGCTACCATTGCGTGAAGAGCGCGCGATGTGCGATTTGAACGACTTCAACTGCCAATTTTGTTGTGATACATGTCCAAGAGTTCAGTTGTAACAAGCTTGTAGTGCCTATTCCCGATGTGTTATTGAAAGATAACGGTGTGAATATTGACTTGGGAAAACTTTTACATGCGCTTGTACAATCCAATGATAAAACTTGAAAGGAAACTAGAATACCGATCTCTCAATTTCAATTGAATGGCACTAAGAATTGCGCAATATTCTTTATAGGAGCAAGCGGCATACAAGCGACAGTAACACCGAGATGCTCATCAACTCTGGACATCTGCAATACCAGAGTAACTACGAATGCGTTGCCGATTATGAGAAAGAGTTAGCGCGCTTCTTAAAGGACCCTAAGTCGTACTTATTTGAAAATATCTCCGTGGACAAGCCGTCCTACAAGGCTGTACGAGATAACGAACGCGTAATTTTGAACTAAACGCTAGAGATGTTCCTTGACCCATATTATTTTAAAAATTGAATCGTTACTCTAAAACTATTTACTTCACTTATGTAATCAATTTAAGTAAATAATCGCTAGCTTATCAAATTCACGAGCATTCACATGTTATCACTAACATGTTTTCCTAACATCTAATCATAGTGAACATTCAACCGCCCCTAGATTTGTACAATACGTTATCTCAAATTATCTACTACCCATTATCTGAACAATAATGAATCAAATTAATTCAGCACATAGCGTCCGCGAATACGTGCTAAGAAACTCTTATAATCGGCTTCGCGAAAAAAAATGCTAATGAGCAAATAAAATACGAGGCTAACATTGGAAGCAGCCAAGCATTGTTTATTCAGACCATCGGAAAAGGTGTATAGTAATTATCTGGAGTCGAGGGGGCGCGCTGAGGTGAAGAATCCTATTGTATATCCGGAGTTTATTTATAGATAACTAGCTTTTGCTCGCGACTTCGCCCGAGTGAAATTAAAAAAAATACAAACACAGCCTACGTTACTGTAACGTAGCTTTTAAAAGGTATTTTCGAAATCGGCGCAGTAGTTGAATTATTTCATTTACAAAAGTACAAATCTTTTCTTTTTATAATATTAGGATAGATAAAAATTAACTATCATACATAGCACTATGCAATTAGATGTTTCTTCATTATTTTACTATTAGTAAGTTTGTGTTTTAAATCCCCGAATGGATGATGGAACAAATGAACATTAACAAAGAATTCATAGCTTAAGAATTTAGCTCCCGTATCTTATGGATATATGATAGTGTCTGTCGTTACTTTTTTGTCAGTAAGCAATAACCATTAAAGACCCTACAGAGGCTAAACTACTGGATATCATTGGCTCTTCTGATACTGATATTGACTAACGAACTTCGGAAGTGCGATAAGACATTAAAAAACTAACTTCTTATCAAGAAACATGCGGATGCTTCTAAAAACTAGTAGTCTCGATGCCCGCGTGGTCCCCGCACTGACCTTGAATAGCCGAAAACATTTATTGCGATAGATTCAAACAGAAAACATTTGCGCGGCCACAAGGTCGCCCGGTCGGCGCACAGTCAAGGGCGTTCGCTAGACGCACTACATGGCGATTATTAGCTGTTTACATTGCGCACAAAGGACCCATTGTCGCCCCGGCGGCTGTCTACAGGACGAATTGCGAGTTAAGGAACTTAATTGATAACGCACTTTTCAATATTGAATTGCCACACATCGAATTACATAGAGACTGTAGTTCACGCACATATCACACTAGAAGTAAACCTTTAATCGGCTCTATTGGTCATTATATTCGACCATAAATACTTGAAAGGGTTTCTGTAAATTCTCTTCTCGAAAATGTTTAAAGAACATTGCTTTATCTTAGGATTTTTTTTCGTTAGTATAACACCAAAAAACAACACTATTTAAATACACTGAATATTTTAATTCGGTATGTTTTCATAAATCGAGTATGCTGATTAGTTTAAACAACATAGAGGTGTCGTATCAAAGGTCATCAAGTAAAGCCGGGCCGAAAGTAAAAGTGTCCACCCACTAAATCCTCATTACGGGCGACGGCGGGCGGCATAATTGTGCGCGTGCCGCAGCCTTGGCCGTGACCGGCGGATAGAGCGGTGCGGGCTTATTTTAGCCGCGGCGACGCCTGATGTAAGCCGCGTTATGTAACGCAAATGCGCCGGCGCAGCGTCACGCGTCACACCGCCGCACGAAAAGCGAAAGCCAAGAGAAAATTGCACCTCTCTCGTCTAACACGAGATTTATCATAGAACATTGTAGGACTCTGTGACAGTTGCTATAAAGACTATATTTACGCATGAACGTATAATACAAGTTGCCATTTAAATACGATATATTACAGGTGGAATCTAGTCATTCCCAAGCGGTCCTGGTTCAACGTCTTACATCTTTCATTTGGTAAGGCACATTATGGTTTCTAGTTTTACATTTCGCGACTCTATGGGTGAAAGAATATCTTCCGAGATTCGCTATGTAAGTATCTTAAAAATGCTTAGCATCAACATTTTGAATGTCAAATCAACAATTACTACCACTGTGTGAGCCTATCCTCCAAGCTATAAAGTAATTTGTTGTAACCGATTCAACTATTAGCAAGTATTACACTAAACAATGTCACCTGCTAAAAGATATAATCACGAAGCGATATATTCTGATTGGCAGCGAATGCGGGAAACGTTTGCCGGTTGATTTACATATTGCGGCACGAGATCTATTTGCTCAATAACTGCGTACATTGAATCAATTTGGTGTTACACAATGCGCTGTGTCACTAGGAGAGCAGCGCGGCGTTATTAATGTTACCGAAAAGATTGTCGTGCCGCCGCCGAGCAGCCGTTTAATTAAACGATTCCGCTCGACAATTCGACTCGCGATCGCGATGTACTCGGATAATATAAAATAAGCAATAAAATCGAGCGTACAATACAAATTATCGATCAATAAAGTTAAACCAATGGGCCAAACGACACTCATTGCTAATTCGATGCAGATAAAAACGATTACAAAGTACGATACGAACGTATTGAATCTATTTCGGTTATTACGACGTTCGGTATAAGTAAATGAAGATCCGTAGAGGTATTTATTAAAATTCAGCGCTCCATTCATAAGCTTATAGTGGTCGCACAATGAGGAAATACGCGGAAACCATTTGATGAGTGTTTGCGAATTCTTTATTGCCAGTCGAAGCACGCTCGACGCTCCTCCACTTCGGGCATTTCGCCGACGACGCTGCGGGACTTAGGACCGTGTCCGGTGGGTAATAGAAGTGCCTTTGTGGTCGTTGAAATGCAAATTTCACGGCGAGGGCCGGCACACGCATTCGATCGGTACCCGGGTCACGCGTGTGCTTTCTTCGCGAATTTCGCGCGCAAATCCATCGAGGCGAACGGCTACGTAACGGTAGATGGCAGTTCCGCGATGGAATGCCGATGTACAGAAGCCCTGCGCCCGCGCAACGTACATAATAACCAACGATGCTGCTAAATTGCCCTAGCGGCGCTTTGCACCATTGTTACTTACTATGTCAAGCGAGGCAACTCTCGGTTAAACGGTGCTGACCGTTTAAAGACATGTTAAAATTACTCATAAAGTTGATAATAACTTTGCAACATTAATCGACGGTGTTAAATAATAAAATGGTGTACATTTCGTAAGTAACTTTCGACTCCGCCTCTGATTTATACTCAACCGCGATCCCTTCTTACAAATGAACACGGCGCCGCTGCAATGTACGTATTTACGAGCATAAAGCCACATAAAACTTAAGAGTCAATAAACTTGTCGAGTTTACATATATTATTCTCGTCTTGTTACGTTCCGTTTTACACAAAAAAGGCATAGCGTTCAGGTATTCCTGTAGCGAGCACTAAAGTTGCGTGGAACGAAATGCATGAGGGGGGAGGTTAACGCAACTATGTAAGTAGAAACAAGTTAATTAATAGAACATTAAACTGTATTTTACTGGTGTAAATCTTGGTTTAATAGTCAAGTAATTTACGTTTATGACTACTACAATCAAATTTTAATACAAACTGTGCAAAATTTCCTGACACTTTTAGTTTCTAGAAGTTTACAGGAACTAAACCATATATTGGATATACGGTGATATACAAAGAGATAACACTTGATTACTTCTAATATTCTGCAGTTTATATAGAAAATTACAAATACATTTTATCTATTGACTATCGGCAAAGGAGGTATATCATAGCTATTTTACAAAAAGCTTCGGTGTTAGGATTTCTAACAATTGTGCTAAAACATAGCACAGAAACAATTTGTCTGTCGCGGACTTCGGTCTAGACAGGAACTCAATAAATAGTTTACAGATTCGACAAATACTTACTGTGTAAAAGGTTAAATCGAACAAAAGATAAAAAAACAACAATAAAATTTGGAAATAACAAATTGTTTTCATTATTGACACGAGGCAATGACTGCGCAAAAACGTTTAATCATTCTGCAGTCGGTGTCGTTATATATTAAAACTAGAGCTAATTTTAACAACTGATCTCATACCAATCATCACAAACTGCGATATGACAAAAAGAACAGAAAAATAAAAATACTTGGAGTCACTCAAAACATCCAAACATTAAAACAGTCAAGTAAAATTATGAAATTGATATTTTCTCTTCTCCGAAGTTCCTGTTAATTGCAAAGATTGCATTGTATTCGCACATATGGTGTCTCCATTACATCATCCTGTCATAAAACATTAACCTACTGCAACTTTGTTTCATGTGGTCAGTGTTTAACACGTTCAATGCCGGCAACATACCACCGAATCAAACATATTCGTATCTTAAACTAGCAACACTCACCTAGCCACCAAGCGCCAACCCATCGTGGGTCGGTGTTATCATATCCTGGGTCTGCTAATGGGTCCACGTACACCCTGGTACAGAGAGCGCCCAGCATGAAGCCTAGAGCGGGGCCAATCACTCTGATGCCAATGGTAATCGCTGTTAACAAAGAATAGAGTTTTAATACACAATTATTATAAAATAAATCTTCAAAAATAACATAACATATGCATCAATTCAATTAGTCTACGTTTATATTATTGTAGACTATGTCCAAGATATCTCGGATATATATTTTAAAATTATAATCTAGACTTTTCTCGATCTCTCCAAATTTTTTGCACATGCCTCATATCAGATTAGGAAAGACAAGGACGAGTGAATGGCGGTGAATTATTACGATCAATTGCGACACGTTAAATCCTGCGTAGTTGATACCACGTGTTTCAGCTTAACTTCAAACATTTTTTATAACCTTTATCAAATAAATATTATTTCTTCGCAGATCTTATGAAATAACGAATTTCATAAGATCTGATAACATTCCTCACGATTATGTCGTTGCGGCAAAACACGTGTTTATAATTTAAAAAAAAAACGTATTTTAATCACATCAATTATCATTCTCAACTTATTTTAATAATTACTCGTAAGCTGAAGTGGAACCGCCGCTTAAAAGGAATTTTAATTTTGTAATGTACTGTGAACTTCAGAATACAATTTAAAATTAAAGCTGTCGCTGTAAAATTGTTTAAACGGTCAAATTTAAAATTACAAATTAAAAACGGAAGCACATTCTTATACATTCTTAATTGTTTCGTTTAATTTTTCACATACTTTCAAAGTTACTATTCCCGATAAATAAATGACAACAAAATCAGATGATTATAAATCGTTTTTGATACTTATTGTATTACAATAACAAACTTGACCAACAAAACAAAAACAGACGACAATTTCACCAGTGGGAGGGCGCGGAGGGCCGTCGCGAGTTCCAATTGAGGGCCATTAGCCCGTACATAAGAAATTATTGGTAATTGTGTCTCTTAACATTCCAATAGTTAACTTTGTCATACTACAATTAACAGTCATGGTATCATGTTGCTGCAGTAACTGGGCAGCCGTTCAATCTCAGTCGCCCGGCGCCGGCGCAGCTCGTGTCCGAAGCACATACTGCATGGGAGATAACGAAACCGGACGGTAATCGAAGGTCGATGACACTCTCCCGACAACCAACTGTCCCAGTTTCCGAAATAATATCGCATGTTATAATAAAAATTTAACAAAGAAATACTCAGGGTGGGTGAGTGACCGAAAAACAATCAAGTACTTAGGTCCCGATGTAATCTTTCCTCGAAATCAACCGCAACGCTTGCCAAAAAACCGAACTGAGAAGTCGTGTGCTCTTTACTGCGTGGAATATAAACTATATGCTACTATATGTACTATCATCATACGCTTTTGTAATAAATAATCGTCTCGTCAGGATCGTTTTTCAAAACGAACGAAGCTCGGTGTTCGATTCAAGTTTTTATTCACCTCGCAACCTACACGCTAACATGCGATGGAGTACATTACAATATAACTTTTATCAAATCTAACTTAAGGTTTAAAATAACTCGTCGGTTGAGTTAAATTGTAAGTGTGGCCGGGCGTATAACCGTCCTTACCGGTTCCGATGCATCATGACTTGCGCGCAAGTGCTGCATCTCCGAATTAACGCTCGTGTGGATTGTCGAAAATGACGAATTGCGTCATTATATCCACCGCCATCTTGGAACATGTTCCGAGAGGTAACGGAGCGGAAATGTTATCGGCTTTTACAACCAGCGAGATAATATTAAATCCATTCATGTTTCCAATATAACCCGCGAAACGAAATAAAACAAGTAATATTTTAAGTCTGTCATTCAGAGAAAAGAAGTTAAAATACATTAACAAAAATATTCTCAGAATTAATATCAATGTTTCTTGTCAGAAAATGAATGAAGGTAATCTTGTAAAGGAATACATTATTAATAACATACATGTTCTCCGCAATGTTATTTAAACGATACATATGTAAATTTATGTTTCACGTTTGACAAACGTAGTAAAATCTGATTGTAAAATCTTAATTTTCTCTTCTTGGGTTACTTTTTTATATCTGATCGGTATATTTTTCACACAAGCGGGACAAAAGTTGGATTCGGCAATACTTATTCTCTGTTATGATAACATATATCAAATAATTTGGAAAGTTTATTTAGACTGCCATCAATAATTTTGAGGTTATAATAGAGTATTCATAGATCAAAAGCGCATAAAAGATTAACAGAAAATTCCATAAAACGAATAATCTAAATCCAAAATTGAATAGATTATAAAAATTAAACAAATATGTACAACAATTTCACATCACTAACATTGATTCGATGTTAGTGAGTGTCACCGTATTAGGAAAAGCGAGGACGAGTGAACGCCTCTGTAAATGCGTATACGAAGTTTTTAGATCCTTTGCCGTAGATACGCTTAAAGACAAGATAATTTAAAAAGATAGTCATGACTACAGAATAAAGGGGACCTTGTAGATTTGTTGTAGTAGGACAGTCCTAAAACGGCTCTTTTAATATAAAATTGCATTAAACATATTAGTGATTGCGACATACGCGACCTTATTTGTAGAAACGGACGCGACAAGGTTATCTGTCCTAGTCCTAGCCTTTCATATCAGTCGTGTGTGTCCAGTGGTGCATTGTACTATATATTAGTACGTCCAAAGTGACTGACGCATCTGTTATTTTTATATAGATAATTATGTTAAAACCGTTAATTGCATAAGCATCTATGTTTTTAACCCGTCGATAAAATAACCTAATGGCCAAACTCTTACAACCCTAAGGACTACAAGAGTTTTTGGGTCCTCATTTGTTTTTAAAATTACCGTACCATTACTTTGCAAAAAGTAAAGTACACTCTTGTAATTTAAATGTTAAATGTTGTTGATTGTAAATGTTAACTCTTCACTTTTATAGTTACAAATATGATCTCTGTCTTAATGGTAGAGACAATGCCAGGGCAACAGCTAGTTAAAAAAAAAATTAGATATGTTCAAACATAAAAGTGGTAGACAAGTCATAGTCGCGGTCATTGATCTGAAAACATGTTAAAGTTTCTGGAAGTATGACTAATTTGCAAACAAATTTTATGAATATACATGAAAGTCTCTACTGATAATTCACCTGTGCAAACAATAATTAACGCATCTCTTTTGTTAAACTATTTTTTTAAGCAATTAAACAGTAAAAGGCTAGAGGTAGACCTAGAAAGAGATGGATAGCGTGAAAGGTGACATGATCAAGGGAGTGACTAAGATGACGGACGATAGAGTTATTTGGAGGACGAAAACCCGGTGCACTAACCCTAAGGGAGTACGATAAGATAGGGGAAATGATAAAAATAGCAAAAGGCGACAATAACACTTTAATAAAATAGACATATTTAGTTCCAACTAATGCGTTTCAAGGTAAAGACGTAACTGAACAAGAAAACTAAAATGAACATCGATTCAATTACCTCTATCCCCGCTTCGCATACCATCAAGCCCAATATCTAATCTGTCACTGGTAATCTAATCTGCAATGGCCGTTGGGAAACTGACCTACGCCAAGTGGCGCAGCAAATGATTACATTGTAACGCGATAGGCTCGCAAAAAACTTGCACAAGTGCACTGCGCCGTGGCCCGACTGTAATCTGTCGCATATTACGTATGCTAATACCACGTTCACGGTACGGCATACGTAATTTATTGTACGCTGCAACTTATTACCTACAAAAACATACGTGGAAAGTAACTATCATACATCTACTAGTATAAAAATTACATCTAGAAGTAGATGTAATATGAAAGAAGATTTACTTAAGAAGGAAGTAGAATCAAATATGACAGCTAATAGAAATGTATGGAAAAGCAGCACATACTGTACCGACCCTCTGTAGGGATAAGGACAAGTTGGTGAAGTAGAAGTAATCAATTTCAAAAGATATGCGGATTTAGGAACTATTTTATCAGCTTTGCCGTCAATAAGTTACATTAATCAGCCAAAAATGATTTGTCTTCTGTAGAACCTGTCTAAAGTTTCATATAGTTAGTAGTTCATGTACGAGTAGTGTAGAATTTCATACAAAATTAGTTCCACTGATGAATTACATGTGTTTTGTATGTATATTACTAATTATATGATTTATTCCAACACAAAATAAAGCTATTGAATTCTAATCTATTGTTAACTTGTGTGCAAGAAAGTAGAACGCCGGACGGAATTCGCACGCCCAAAACAAAATTTCAAAGAATTTGTGATTCATGTTGAGGAAAAATTCATCTAAAACTCTAAACCAGACCTGTTTAGATATATAACGACTGTCTAGATGTCTTGTTTTTTACCTATTTAGTAAAACAGATAATTAATTATGAAAAGAATTTGATAATGGCGCTCGGCGATGGCAATATCTACTAAACGTTAACAAAAGGTATGAATATTTAATCTCTATATCAAGGAACGAATATTCGTTTACCAGCTTATTCATATACTTTTGTTGCATCAAAAAGCATTAAAGCCTGACTCAAAAAATCATAACATCATTACATGAAAGTTAACTGCCCAATTACACTCAATAAACGGTAATAATTAATTAAAGAGGACAAACGTGGCAATTAAGTTTTCTTAAAAAAAAAACAAGCCGCCCACGACGTCTGGAAAATCCGGATCGATTCCCGAGTAGCGGTGCAGACAACTTTTAAGCAGGAATTTGAGGACTGATAATATAAAAATATTCTACGATCTTAAACCAAAACTTGTACCAAGTAAATTAGTCTAACGCCATTGATTTAGCGGTTAAAATGTTACTTGTATATTACACGAATCTATGATAGTACAAAATTAAAGATAATATTTTAAATACATTAAAGTATGTCACTGAGCCACAAGTATGTGGAGACGTCCCGACACACTGACACAAATCCTCAGCCACTGAAATAGCTGTTACATGCAACGACATAATGCACTGGCAATCTAACCCGTGTCGTAAACTTCTAATATTTTAGATAGAAAATTATCGAAAAAGGATATTAAAAACACCAGCGGTTAAAAGCTTAGAAGTAATTGGAGAACTGTCTGGAAAGAAATGTAATTTCGTTATGTTTAAAATGTTTTATCTAATATGGAAATCTACGACATCTTAGGGTGTTTCTCGTTGAGTCAATCGGCCTACCGATTACTGGCCCAATTGGCAAAAAAACTCATTAGGCTGATTCTACACATTAATCGGCTCAATGGGAAACACCCTATAAGCTAGTATTTGAATAGTGCAGTAATTTACTAAAATAGAAAGAAACAGTACGAGGTATAGGTACCTCGAAAAATAATTGAGATCCGCTTCAAATCTCCTAGACAATCGAAAGTGAAAGTTAAACTAGAATTTCTCTAAGAAAAGTATGAGGTAATTGGATATACCAGTTACTCCTCCGGTAATAATACGCAGGTTTTACAACTACTACATTGTTGCTATGTAATTTTAATAGACAATATTTTAAGCTTTAGGTGACTAAGTCCGCGTAGAAATAAAAAAAAAGTAAATAGCCTACGTATTCTTCCAATTTCTCTACATCTATGCCAAATTTCATCAAGATCCGTTCAGCCATTTATAATATTAGTAAGATAAACTCCAGAATATTTTCTAATACTAGCAGAAAATGGCCGAAACAACTTAAGAAAAGTCTGTGTAATATTCTATTGTGTTTAAAAATGTCGAATTCATCCGTTTATGGGGGTTTAAAATAAGATTTCAAGGGGATTTAAAGTAAAATGAATTACGTAAGTACGCGTAAGTCAACAAACAACGACCCATATCACGAGTTATGATTTATCATCCACAGTATGTGTGATGCGCTAATTTAGGTCAATATATATCGTCATTATTAATTAAGGGCAACAAATTAAATCATATCATTAATATATACACATACAATAAATAGTCAATAAGAAAATAATTACATAAGCGGATCTGATCGACCTACATAGATAACGAAAGGAATGCGAAAAACATGCATAGTTAATATTTATAGCTTTGTAGTTTCCAATGCTACTTAAAAGTAAATTAATCTAGAATAAATATCTCAAATTAATAATCTTACTAATATTATAAATGCGAAAGTTTAGATGAATGGATGGATGGATGGATGTTTGTTAGAGTTTGTAGCTTAAACGGCTGAACAGATTTCGATGAAATTTGGCATAGATGTAGAAGATAGTCTGGAAGAACAGATAGGTTAATTATTTTTGTTTTTTTCAATACCACGCAGACGGAGTCGCGGGCGAAAGCTAGTTATTAATAAACGTTTTAATATGACGCCATCTATGTGATACTAAACTGACAAAGATTTTGCATCTTTGGAAAAATGAAATATGCACCTAGTTGTCTCTGACTTTAGTCATAACGGTAATTACATAATGTGTATAGACGGCTTCTTTCATTGTTAGGAAGCCGTATAAAATGTAACCGTATCAGAAAACGACTAAGTTAATACTTTAACGGTGACATAGTAGAGTAGTAGACAATGCAGTACGGCTATTATTGGAACGTAAACTTAGTGTCAAAACAGTACGGTTCTGCTTCAGCGTTGCAAATAATAGAAATATTGTTCTGTCGTTATACCCTCGTGTGAAACAAGAGTTAACAGTTAACACTGGCCTATTACACCAACTGTGTCAGGTGTTATAGAAATATTGATATATTTAAACAAAACATTCCTACAGTAATAAAATTATTTAAACTCTCGAGATACTATAAATTCAAGGGGGAAGAATTACCTTTGAAATTACTTGCGCATTATTAGTTAATTTTAGGAAATTACGTAAGCAAAAGAACATCTAAAGGCATTAAGGAAACCTACCTAAAATCTCCGACAATTAACAAATAAAACTAGCTATTAATTAAAAAAAAACATGAATATGTATTAAATAACTATTTTAAAGATTACTAGTCTGTACACGAATTACCTTTTTCTAAATAACAGTTCATGTTAAGAAATATTGCTTTGTCCACAGACTAAAATAGACTCCGTGCCTGCTTCAACGTAATACCAACACAATATTGGTTGGAGTTAGGTCGAGTCTATCAACAAAGCTATTTACACACCATTATTTTGTATACTTTAGTTAAAAGGATACAATAACATTAACAGTAACTAAAATAAGCTTAGTGAACATTTTTTAAATTTATGCTAGCGTAGAAAGCGTAGATTTAAAATACGTTAGTACAACGCAACTTAACTTTAAAATTTCAAATTAATAATAGAATAATGAAGCAGATATGCTAATGGGTGTCGCTAGCACGCCACTCTAGTGTGGTGCCACCTTTACTGTGCAACCCTCACGTACGCACATGTCGCGACCCACGCACACCACATTTTGACTTTTTTACATTACCCACCACCGTGTGAACTGTTAAAACGAGTATGTAATTTTTTTTTTATATTTTCACTTTTAAAATAGCTCGGTAATATGTTAACTTAAAACAACGAACTAACGCATATCTATAATATAAATGCGATAGTTTGTATGTTTGGATGGATGTTTGATGGAGGGTCTCGGAACAGATGAACGGATCTCCATAAAATGTATCATAAATGTAGAGCATAGTCTGGGCGAACAGACAATTCAACCGTTTTTTTTTATTCTACACGGACAAAGTCACGGGGTCTCATATAACTGCAAAAGACGCTTTATATAGCTTTTCATTTCATGAGGAGCATTTCGCTTCATAAGAAGAAAAATTACGGAACAATAGTCGTAAAAGGTTTAGTGTTACAGTGTTCAGTATATAGTGCTCAGCGTGCAGGGTACGTGTAGCTTGTGCTGTACAGTGTGCAGCGAGCAGCGTACAGCGCGGCCAATAGACGCCTCCCAGACAAAACAAACTGCACAAGTATCTATACCCATCAGATATTTATAAAAAGGAATAACCGGTCGTTCGACCTCTACTACTAATTATTTAATATTACGTCATTCACAACATTAGTTATGGCATATCATGCTTTGGTAGCAAAGGTTGGTAATTTTAGACATATAATTTAAAACTATCGTTATGGTCCATAGGAATAGTTAAGCCGGCGGATTATTTATCTATATTGAAACTATAACCAAGAACATCCAATAATTATAACAGTATTTGTTTGCTCTAATACATTACCAGATTAACATACATAAAAATATGATAGTTTACTTCGTGTAACGAGCAAACAAATGTATTTGTTAAAGTAAATATTACCTTACTTAGATAAGAAACTGGGACTGTGAAGAATTCACATTATTTCGTTACTCTACGATAATATAAGTAAAAACTCTTCTTTGTATACTAATGTCATAAAACTAAGATAAAAATCTTTGAGCATGGACAACCCTAATAACCTAATACTCAACTGCCGGAATTCGCAATTGGGCTTGATTAGGAACTCAATGTTAAGCAATGTCTAGATTCTTCTAGTATTTTCTCGGAAATTATTACAATATGAAGCATTCAAAGGGTTTTTGGACTTGTATATTGCGACAGTAACCAAGGTTATTGTGATTACGATTCTCTTACTCAAAAATGAAACATATTGTATGCAGTGCAGTAATTGAATAAATAAATCGTAATTTAGTACAATACCTTTAACATGGGAATTCATAAAAAAATAATTTCTTTAAAATAAACCAAGTATTATTCCAATGCTCTTTATGGTGATATTAACGTTAAAAGTGGTATTCGAAACAATCGCAGTGATCGTATGTTGTACTGGCATCGTTTACGTACAGCAAAGGGCAGTAAGCACAGAGTATGTAGGCGTGCAGTAGGCGGTATCAATGATTTATAAACTTAACATTGTATGCCAATTCTTCCGTGCAGTCCCGACTGAATTTATTGGTGCAACATATTTTTATACATGACTGCGCTCGGAACGTGTTCGCGGTATATTCTCGTTATCGTTTTTTTTTTCTTTATATATAATTAATATAAATCCTACTTACCCATGTATAGTGGCGACTGTCTACTCCCCACGTTATCGTCGACGTATGGTATGCCCAGGGTGGCGATTCCGGTTTGTCCGACGCCCACCACGAGCAAACAGATGAATAGCCACGGTATAACGACTGCCGTGATCGAAGATCGTGTTTTGGTGCTTTGAACTTGGGCGTCGTCACATTTGATGAGTGAGGAATTTTTGTCGAGCGCGCAGATTGGACCTGCCCCGGCAGTGTGAGAGTCGAGGTGCACCTCGAGCAGCTCGGTGCCGTAGGCCATATGTGGCATCATGCAACCGATGACACCCACCGCAAGTACCAGCATCATGCAGGCGATCCAGCGCGGCCGGTGCCCCCGCCCCGCTAGGTATGTCAGAAACAACGCCGTACATATCTGACCGATCTCCGTCGCTGCCAGCAACGTGCCCGTTGTCTTCGATTCTACTTTAAACAGCTTCTCTATGGTCGTCGTTACGCTCACGAAATAAGTGAGGAACATTCCCTGCAGCACCCAACCCGAGAGAAATACCAGCATAAAGATGCGCGTAGAGTGAAATGCGGCGCACGAGTCCGGCTCCTCCGGCTCGGGCAGCTTGCACACCAAAGAGCCATTGTTATTTCCGGTCGCTAACCGTTCCTGCTCTTCCGGTGTCGCCTCGACTCCTTTCATAGCGCCTTCTTCGACGGCGGGGTCAGTGGCGCCCGCCTGCCCGTCCGAGACTGTCGCAGCGACCGCCGCTCTGTGGAAAAAAATCACATCAACATCTCGCTGTAGGATGTAACAAACATAGGGCTCGTTAGAAACACTCACGCCATCGCTACCGAACTCTAGGCGACAGACAGATACTACAACCCCCTAGAAACAAAATTAACCGAGCGGAAACGACACGCACGCAAAGCTCCGTCGGTCGCGACCGTTTCCTAATAACGGTCTCCGAACCGACTTAAGTAGTGGACGATCGCGAAAACTTGTAGAGTTATCGATCGGACGCGAGCGAATGGCATAGTTCGGGGGGTCGAATGCAGGCCGGTGCCGGCTTGTAAGGGGTGTTCGAGCTGCGTGCGCGCAGGCAGCCTGGCGCAGAGAGACTGCACCGTGCAGCCGCCGGCACGACGCACTGCACCCGCAGCCCGCCCCTCAGCTTCTCCCGACGGGGTTTTTATTGGCCGCCTAGCTGTTTTTTGTGCGCCACGCATTTACACACGACGAAAGCTGTCTGCGCGCCGCCCTCCTCGGAAGATTCCCTCTCGCCTCGGTAACGCGGAATGTCTTTGTTTCATGTGCGACGCTTTTAAGCTAGGGTCTACTTACATTTAGCTCGCAATTGTAAAAATCAAGGAAACTTGAGATATTCTCTTCAACAATATGAAATATGTTAATGAGGTAGTTAAAGATAAATACGGTTAGCAAAAATGCAAGGGTTTGTCATACAATAGAAAGGCGTGACATAAAAAAATTGCACCTACGTCGACGTTAATACCGTACGTAGGACGCCGACACTAGGTTCGCAATAACATCGACCGTGGAATATTAATGAGTCCGACTCGTATGGGTAACTGGACTTGCGAAACTCACCAGCTGGGGCCGATGACCACCGGTGACACGGTAGCGACGTGCTACGCCAAAGAGCCTACCAGTTAAAAAAAATCTATCTTCACGACAGCAGCGATCGTAGATGGTGTACGAACGTGATCGTGGTTGTCGGGGATGTAGCAATATTTTCACGTCTATTGATAAATGTAACGTATTGTTAACTGAGTGGCGAGATAAACGCACGTAAGTCGGCGCAGGCTATCGTCGAATCCCTATCGTTGCGATAACGGGACGTGGCAAATAGTCCGGCCACTTGTGCAGCGGGTTACTGCCCCGACAACCTTAAACACTGTGCCCTATTTATCATAAGCGACGCACTAGCCGACTGCTCGCAACTACTTTAGGGCGTTACCGAGAAATAGCGGAGCTGTTTTGTGAAATCTGCTTGAGACTCTGCCAAAAACAAACTTTTCGAATGAAAAATTAATATTTATGAGATAGAAAACTTTCTGAAAGTTATTAATATTTTATGAATATTAACGTGGTACTTTCTCCCTTTCAATTGGGATTGTAAAAAATAAATATTTTGACAACCGGCGTTAAAATTGAAAGTGACGTTAGAGTACTTGTGTGTGGTACTTGAGTACAAGCGATAAATTAATCACCAATGACTTAAAGGATATCAATCTTATAACCGAAGACGAAACTGAAGTGATAATTACTGGACTACGGGTTTTTATTAAAGAAGAATCTCTGACTATATAAGATATAACTCTTACAAATATCCGACGATAAACTATGCATATTGACTACAACCTATCATCATACGACGATGTTGATGATAGGTTGTAGACGATCAAACACGTGTTAAATTAAATTTAGGCTTTAATCTAGAATTACAGGATAACTGAATACGTGTCTAATATAAGCGTCTGTAGAATCCCTTTATTGGCATTCTCCGTCGGGCGCTCGCGTCCGGACCAATCTAATTGGCGACAAAGTTATATGAAAGTCAACCCCGCACGGAACGGTGCACGCAAAGTACATCCACAATGCGATACGTCGACAATAATTTATTTAATCTCTCGCCGCGATTGAGCCGCAATGTATCATTCGGCTCCGACGACGGACCTATTGGCATAAATTGAATAAACTATCGTGTCGACACAACAACCATAAAAAGAAGATATATTCAAATTTAAGGTACATGCGATACACGTGGCAGGAAACGAGGAATTGCCCAACTCCGTGTCCTCACTTACAATTCACCGACATTACAAAATGGACGGCAGTACCGATGTCGACCCGCATCAAAATCTCAAATACATGATAAAAATGATGCTGATGATACGCAAACACATTCGTATTCATAAAACAGAAGGACAAAAGGACGTATTTACATTGATATAAAATTCATCAGATTATCGTAAGCATGATACAGTGGAAAAAAATCCAGATAAATAACTTCGAACAGAACATGAACTTAATATAAAAATATTACAGAATCATATCTTTCATGATGAAACAAATACATAAAAATGGGATACGTGTTAACGACATTTTTCAATTTCTAAATACGTATTTAAAATGTAGTACGGGTCTAAATAAGAATTCGTGGTCACCGTAGGTAAAATTATTCCTCCCCACAGCTCACAATTGATGCGAATTCAGAAAATAATATGTACATACATATGTAAGTGGCAACATTCAAATAAAACGACCGCGGGAATAACAAAACTAAACAGATGCAAACATAACGCTCAATGTATTTATAAATATATTCAATCATTTATCGAACAAAAAGCGAGCCTACGAACAAACTAAAAGTAAATTTATAATTTTAGGAAATCGCGGCCTACATACATGAATTGAATTAAAATGAAATGCTAAGTAGATATGTCTAAAAATATCAGCATTCACCTAGCAAGATTTTATACTGATTATAAAAAGTTGATGCAATCTGTTTTAGAAAAATACTATGACTATAAATGCATCGGGAAAATGTCCCAACACAAATGCACTAATCAATTTTTGAAACCTCCATATGTTTAAACGAACAACACCAATCTCATATAGATAAAATACTACGCGCGCTCATAATGAATCAATATTATTTGCTCATAATGAATCAATGCATTCTCTGATATGTCATATGACATACAAATCCTAAACCAAAACGAATACACACCTGAAATCTATTTAGCGCGATCTGGCACACATTACAGTTCACGTAATTAATTTATTCAAAATATCGATATACTAACGATACAGCCAAGTAGTTTATCGATAACTATCTACGGTACATCACTAGATAAGACATCTATGATTCTTCGAGTGAGAGGACACAGCGCGGTCAAGGTGAGTGAGCAGGTACGTTTGCCGATGACATCGCGCCCTCGAGATTAATTGCTGATTTATACGCGCATCACTATACTCTAAATCAAATACATTACAGTATCATTAAGAATGTTTAATTCAATTTCAATATATTAAGACATTTGTAGATTGAATTTGTTTTTCCTTGTATATCAACTCTTAAAATGGACGATGATAAGCATATCTGGCGCTCGGCCACGCATTAAATGGGGTCAAGCGATGAAGTTCTGTAGGCTCTTACTGGCAACACGCCATAAAAATACATATAATACATGGGAACGTTACTAGCATATCAACAAAAAGCCAATTTAATTTTAGCCATTGAGTACTAAAATAAAAAATATTAAACGATCAGTCGCTTAATGTCGACATCATTAAATCAAGCATTGTCTCAATGTACGAACATGCAATAACCTGCAATCGCATTCAGACATCATTGCAAAAAATGCAGAAGCTGCGAGCGGCAAAATATAATTTACTGGCACATAAAACACTTATATTGGCGTCGAAACAAGATGAGAATAAGCAGTGAAAACAGATGAACATATACAAACTTTTTTAAATTAAATAAAATTAACAGCCAGTCCAAATGCAATTCCTTCCTTCAATTAAAAATGAAAATAAGCAGCATACCAAGTAAAAAACCGATAGGTAATAATATAAATGCCATTTATTCAAAACAAAATGCAGGACATAATTTTCCCAAAGTGAACTTTATAATAATCAAATAACATAATAACAACTGTTCAAAAGCACACAAAACAACAACGGTAAATTACAATTAACATAGTAAATTACTTAATACCAGCAATGTGCTGTACAATAATTACAATCGAGCTCACGTTCTTTGCTCTGAGAGCGCTCTGCGTGATTACAAGCAAATTTGCAAACCAAATCTGGCTTAATACGTGTATAAATTATCAACAGCAGCTAATGTCGTTGCGATAAGTGATTTATCTAAATTGATAAATACAAGAGTAATTGCTCAACGATACCTACAACTGTCCCGATCCTAACGCTCCGTGAGTTAGATAAGCCAGAAATATTCATTCTGTAACAATAGCAATAAAAGTACAGTCAAATAATTATATCAGAAACTAAGAGAATGATCAATTCAAAGAATGTTGCCTGAATTGATGAATTATTCCCATAGGATTAAACACAGGTACAACAATCAAAAGTATCAGATTTTTTTCCTGAACACGATTGGCATTCATATTAACAAACCTGAAGTTCATTTAAAATGTTTTTAAAACTCGATTTTGACTAAATGTCTTCACAGTTTTGAAAAAGAATCTAAAAATTTAATTGCAATTTAAGAAATACACAAGCCTTAATAATGAAATCGAAACCCAACGAAACAACAAAAACTATAAGAGCAAAGCGAGTTCTTCAGATACAAGACAGTGGGTAACGAATCTTCCACGAAGGGCTGTGCGTGCGTAACCAAGATTTGACAGGAGTCCCTGTGGAGTCATATTACTTATGAGATATACAATCTTTGCTAGCCATTACACGCATTTAAAGATCGAAGGAGATTTGTAACCAACGCCAATGTTTGGCACGAAATCAAAATAAGAAGCTGAGGAGAATCCCAATGCACGGACATGTTCGTCGATTGAAACAAAAACGCATACTCTGTAAGATTAAGCTTCGACTAATCTTTACGTCTTGTCCGCCATTTCTCAACTAGTCAAACATCTTACGTAAGTCTGACATAAGAGCGCCTTGACATTGTTGATCTCGTACATAGCGGCACACGTCACGACAAATATCGTGCGAGACTACTAACATAATGATTCAAGGAAAACTTAAATCGACCATCGAATAGCACTATGAGGTAAACCACTAACTGCACATGTTACAAAACTAGGTCAAATTTAAATACTCTGAACATACCTAATGTTCTGTCCCTACTAAATGGTTGAAGTCAACGTCTTCTATGAACATATTAATATGAAAATAAAAACGATGGTTGCGAGAATAACAGAAATTTTCCTTTAACTAACATGATTTCAAAGTCGCTAAAATGTGAATTTTAGATTCGTATCTCAGGACTAAATTAAATCAAAAACTACTAGCCAATTGCTGTACAAGTCATATCTAATGAAGGTATTAACTACAAACAAAATAAATTTTACCTAGACTGGTCTAAAATCATCAAGAAAATTATGCAAGTAATATTGTGTAGGCAAT